CTAAATAGTATGTGAGATTAAAATAAGTGTGTCCCAAAGCATAGTATGTTGAAAAGAGTATGCCAAAAGTCTCCGAATGGTCTACTATTTCAGGTCGATTTTTGAAGTGTGGATCCGTGCACACTCTAATGGCTAAAATTGCCCACAATCCATTGCGCTTTGGCGAAGGATTCGGTCCAGACCTACAAATACAAATAAAATGCTTTAAAAACTACAAACGTGGCGGATGTTACTAATAATCAACATTTAACCTGGTAAAAAAGTATTTATTTATTGTTATCCGTGTTATATTTCATCTGCAACAGTAATGTGAACTTTTATAAACATCTATTTGGTCGTGAACTTTTAAATGCATCATTATGCAGAAAATATCAGCAGAGTTCTCCGCATGAAAGACCAGTGACTGGCAGATCAACGAGCTACTTCTTTTCTCTCCAGTACGGTAGGAAGTTAAATTAAATAAAATGTGTAGGATGTTAACTGTGATAAGATGATTGACAGGCCAGTTTACAGTGACCGGGTGCGTGTAACTATGTGACAGAGCGGTCCGATAAAGACGTAATTGTGTGACGTGATAGTATGTCCCAAAGCTTGCGTACTCTTTTACTACACACTCAAAAGTGTGTACTTTTTCCTCACCAAAAGAGTACATACTTTAAGGACGTAGTATAAGTAGGCACATTGAGACGCAGCATATTACAGAGCATAGTAATGGAGGACCCCACAGCTGCCATTTATCACACTAATTACAAGAGATAAGAGATCACTAAAAAGAGCAAGAGAAAGACTGAGGAAGAAAGAGATGGCACTATAGCAGGAAAAACTGATGGCAGCCTTCGGTAATATGTAGCACTTAGCATAGAATGATAGAGGAGCTCAGATTTGTACATCTCATAGAATTTTTTTTGGGGGGGGGGTGATTTTTTTATTTGTTTTCCACAGACTGAAATTTTAGTTTTTGCGCACATAATGGTGTGTGCATACGAGCATAGGCATATGTATGAGTGTGGATGTGCCTCGGGCCATTGCTGTGCTGGATGGACTGCTGAATGTGTGTGTGTGTGTGTGTGTGTTTGAGCTCCTGAGTGGAGCGTTATTAATGCGATTCTTCCACATCCTTGATGTGCCAGTAAACCAAAGGACTTTGCGCTGGCCTGTGTACTTTTTCGCCCACCCCACAGGCGCACATACACAAATACTTTTCTTTGCCCTCACAAAAGCACATTAACATTCACACCCACGCCCACACTTTTGCAAACACGCCCACACATTTGGCCTTTTGGCTTGCTTGCACCCAACCCTCTGGACAACTGGACAGTCAGATCACACACACACTAAATGCCGTCTTTCTCAGCGCAAGCTGCCAGTCTGTTTAGCACACTTCTCCACTGTGCAAGTGCGAGAACACAGTGCGTCTATGTACCGACGGCTGTGGTGGAGATGGATGACTGCGCCGATATTAAAGCCCTCCTCTGCTCTGTGGAGACAATTTTAAGTCCCTGCTGGGTGTTAAATGGCTAAATCGTTTTATTCCTGCACACGATTCAGATTGAATATATTTGAACTGCAGCTTAGAGATTGTGCTTGTGCATTTTTTTTTCAATTCATATTGATTAAAGAGCCATTTTCTATACTTTTATAGTCCAATTAAAATGTCAAGGTTTCTTGCACCAAAAATAGTTTTAAGCTACTTTTTATGACAATTCTCAGCTCTCCCAGACCCTTAAGGCCAATTTATACTTCTGCGTCGAAGCTACGCCGTAGTTTATGCATAGACGCACACCCATACGCCGTAGCCTGACGTGCACCTCTCCAAAAATCTAGCAGCGCGTCAATTCTACGCGGACCGCAAGTGCTGTGATTGGTCTGCAAGAACCCCTCCCTCCATATGTACTTGAGTTTTGTGTGTGTTTGTGCACTTATATTTTAATGTTACACCTTCTTATATAAAATAAAACAAAGCAAAGAACAAGTGTTTTAATCATGTTATACTACATAGCATTATACATCAGTAGTTGTCCGCAACAAATAATGTTGATCTGCCGTAGTACAAGTCCTTGTGCAGATTGAAAGAATGCCATCTCCTGTTCCGTTGTTGTCTCCTTTTGGTAGTTTTAAATAATGATTTAATGATTTGATATTTATTTACTGCCTTCACGGCTATAATGCTTCTCCGAGGAGCCGCTTCTTCTTCGGCTTTTGCCGTGGTACTGCGGGTTACACCAGCAACATGCCCGTGGACACTGCATTCTAGCGGTTTGCATGTGTACTGCACGTTGACGCGGACAACGATGCAGAAGTATAAATGAAAACTGACGCATAGCCTACGGCGTAGGTCCGACGCAGAAGTATAAATCAGCCTTTAGAACTAAAGATGTATAATAAGTGTTACTTTTTTTCTGATGTTAAAATATTTTCTCCTATCCTAGCTTAATATGCAAAATCAACAGTTGTGTATAAAGTACCTGAAAGTCATACTCAAGTAAAAGTACAGATATCTTACCAGAAAATGACTTTGGTAGAAGTTGAAGTCACCGTTTAGAATATTACTTGAGTAAAAGTTTTAAAGTATGTGATATGTATTTTACTTGAGTACGAAAATTATTTTAATCTTAAATGTACTTAAGTATTGAAAGTAAAAGTACAAGTTAATGCAAAATGGAAAAGAAGCAAATAAATATATATTAAAAATGTTCATACACAGCTTGAGTAGAAAGATTGTGTTCAGTTTTAACTCTTTCTTCCATTTTGTATTTTTGGGTAAGAATATGAAGCACTTCATCCGGTACTTAGCGTCTTTCATTCCAACATAAGAAAACATTTCTGGAATGTGCATCTGCAATAGCATTTAGATGTATTTACACAGTTTAATGTATCTCAGAGGGGACATGGATGCATTTAAACTGCAGTTACAGATGCATAAATAGGCCTAATGTTTTGTTTTTAACATAAAATATTGAATACTGATATTTGAAATAATTAAAAACATGAAAAAAATTGTCGAAATGTGAAATTGAAACTGCCAGTAGGTGACAGCAAGTGACTGTTAATGAGTGAGTCATTGAGATTCAACCGATTCATTCAAACGACTGATTCATTCAGAAACAAAGCATTTGACTGTGTTAATGAGTGAATCACTGAATCATTTATTCAACCGATTCGTTCAAAAAAGCTGATTCATTCAATAAGTAAACATCGTCCATTGCTCAGAGACGCAAAACAGTGCTGTGATCTTTGTTTGGAACTATTTTCATTTGCAAAATTGAGCAAAAACAAGCAATATTATGTCTAAAATGTAAGTCACTTATTGCTTTACTGAACTTGAATAAAATGATTAATAAATGTGTTCATGCTGATATCTGCAGAAAACTCTTTGTGTGATATAGATTAAGTTAACTATATTCAATTATATAGACATAAAAAGCATACCGAAGCATTTTTGCCATATACAATTTATGCCTGGAATTTTGAGTTTTAATAGACAAATAAATCAACGTGCGTGAACTCTGTGTGATTTGGTGATATAGCCTACTTGATCATGTCCGATCGCACATCATTACAACAACATATTATTTCAGACGATGCTGTATCGCACACCCCAGCCTTGACTTGAGTGGGAAATGAAATTACCAGCGGTTGCGCGCACTTGTTTGCACATGAGCAAAGGTGTTTTTAGGAGTCTTAACTTGTAGACGCCAGACCACTGATTCATCAAACCTGCTTTCCTGCAGTCCGTGTTCTTCAGACTTCTGACTATTTTGTAGTAAGTAACTAATTTGCTTTGGGGAAATGTATTGGAGTAAAAGTATACATTTTAATTAGGAAGTGTAGTGGAGTAAAAGTTGTCTGAAATATAAAAACTCAAGTAAAGTACAGATACTCCCAAAAAATACTTGAGTACTGTAACAAAGTATTATTACTTTGTTACATTACACCACTGAAAATCAACAATATGTAAATTGATTTACTAGTGTTAAAGTCAGCATGAAATGGAAATTCACCCTGTCTATGTTCTATAATGTCAATCTTCCGGTGAAAAAACAGACTTCTCTCTGGTGACGTATGTTGGACTTTATTGGATCATTTAATCAGCTTAAACCTCTTCTATTTCTTACAATCAACTGCAAGCGTGCATTTAGATCTGCCTCCATTCAATCAACAACCCATGAAGTGACCCACATCTCACTAAGTTTCACTTGAAAGAATCTGATGCTAATTCAGTTACATCATTACTTTTAAAAGTGTTAACACTGGCAGTGTGGCAGTATCAAAACATTGCTCTGTTTGAACATCCTGACCAGGCTAAAAGCATTGGTTAAAGCAATGTTCAAGTTTGGGATGGGACTATATGTTTGGAAATCTTTTTAAAACAATCATTATGCACTTCATTTTGCACTTAAGCTTTAAAATGGGATGCTTTTTGCTACTGTGCTTCTAAGACTTCCATGTAAACACCCTCTTCACTTGTGAGATGAATTGAAAAACAGTGCTTATTTAAGTTTGCTGTCAGGTGCAATATAGTTGGCTCTGCCTCATCCTTCAATGACAACCTCTGCACAGCCTGCATTACATTGTGACAGGTTCACAAAACAATCCACAAAGAAATGTGCTGCACAAACTGTGAAGGTCAGACTGAAATAATCAGGGATGTTTATTTAAAAATAAACTTCAAATGCTTGTTTCTAACATTAGGATCCTTCTGTCTATGCATAGACACAGGTGCTACCCCACAGCACAATGTTTGCTGAACTTCCTGAACCTCTGAGATAACAAATGGATTTTTTTTTTTAAATGTGTCCTGTCATTTACATGCTCACGGCTGTGACAACACAACCATGCTTACAGGTTGAGCCATTTTTGCAGCTTATTTTTCATAAATAGTTTGAGAAACCTGAGGAGGGAATTTTGCATTTGGAGCATTCGAGTATAGAGTTTGCTTCAAAAGGACATGAATATTTCTTATCTGTAATGTTTGATATCACTTGTGTGTGTTCTATCAGATGCTGAGGACGTGCTCCTTACCAGACCTCAGTAAAGTATTCAGTGATGCTGCAGAACCTGAAGTTGCAGTTGCTCCTGACAACAACCTGGAGATTGAAGATCTGGAGGATAAAGCGGATGAACAGTCTGAACCTGAGGAGTAAGACACATAAAACATGCATGCATGTGCACCTTCTCTCTCTCTCTGTCTCTCTCTCTCTCTCTCTCACACACACATTCACTTATGACTGTGTCTCTCTCAGTGTGTACGAGGATGATGATTTGAGGGAGCTCAGAGCATCTATGGAGAGGCTTCTCCAGGAGCAGCGCAGTGATGAAGAAGATGATGACGAAGAGGACGATGATGGCGGTGGATCCAACAGTAGTCCAGCTGATGAAGAGGCAGCTGGCCTTAATGGGTTGGCTAGTGCTGGTGTTGACAAATGCAGTCCAGAGGAGGAGTGTTTTAATGGAATGGCTGAGGAAGATGATGTTAGCCATGGTGAAGAAGAGCCAGGAGGGCCAGTTACTAACGGAATGGAGGTTGAGGAGGATGAAGAGCAGAACAGTAGTGAAGGCCAGCTCAATGAGGAGTGGCAGTCTGGTAATGCCTCCATAAACAGCTGTAAATGCTAACCATATCCACAAACAGAGCACAAAGACTGAACGCATGGCCAAAAACAGGACCGATCAACTGCTATCTGCATCCACAGATGCAGCATTACGGCTAACAAGATCCACAAACATGTCCGTGGACACAGCATAACACAGCAGCTAACCTTAAAATCCACAAATACATCCGTGTGAACAATACAGCATCTTACTGTATCTGTCAACACAGCACAACAGCTAACCATAACCGCTAACATAGTGCAACTGCTAACTGTAACCACAGTGAAACAGCTAACCTCTACTGTTAGCACAGCACAACAGCTAACCACATCTGCTAACACAGCACAAAGCTAAACACATCTGCCATAACAACTGCTAGCACAGCACAACATCTAACCACATCTGTTAGCACAGCTTAAAAGCTAACCAAATCCACTAGCACAACCGAAACTCTAGCTACATTCGTTAGCATAGCTCAGCAGCTAGCCACATCTGTTAACACACCACAACAGCTAACCGTAATCGTTAACACAGTGCAACAGTTAACCCCATCTGGTAACCCAGCACGACATCTAACCACATCCGCTAACCTGGTACAACAGCTAATTTAGTCCGTGAACACGTCACATCCGTTAACTCGGCGCAACAGCTAGACACAACTGCTAACACAGCACAATTGCTAACTATATGCACTAAAACAGTGCAACAGCTAACCATATCATCTAACATAGCACATCTGCTAATCACATCTGGTAACGGGGCAAAACTGCAAGCCACTTTAGCTAACATAGCGCAACAGCAAACTACAACACAGCTAACAATTGCTAACTGCATCTGCAAGCTCAGGTCAACAGCTAACAAACACTTTAAATGCAGCACAATAGCTAATCATGTTCATAAAAACAACAGCTAAATTCAACTGCGAACACAAATGTTGACACCATCCACAAACACAACTAAACAATTACTGACTACATTAACAAGCACAACTCAATGGAACTATAACCCAAATACAACAAACAAACATCATGTTCAACTGTTGCTAAGCTCTCTAAAAATAAAAACAAGTACTGTGTTTATTGAGCTAAAGATATTGTTCTGGCTAATTGAATTTGATGATTGATTTGGCTTTGTATGACTGGGGTGTGGAATGACATTGGCAAATAACACTTTCAGTACTGACATAGGTCAGCGTAGTATTAGCAATATTCCACAACAATACACTCTTACTGTGTGAACTTTGATAGATTGTAGTATACCTTTATCTCTGTGCATGTGTATGCATGCAGATGACAGCGAGGAAGAGGACGAGGAAGACCTAGAGCAACAGGACAGTATCTTCAGTCGTCTGGAGGAGCTGCGGTTCCATCTAGAGCAGGCCATGGGCTTTGAAAACTTCATTCAAGCCTACAACAAGATCAAGGTCTGAGTTCCTCGGTTTTGCATTAAATGTCAACTCTCACCATGTCTCCAGTGAGATTCAGTGGTTTTGTGCCCGGGTGAATGCATTGCGGAAATACTGCATAACTAAGAGGTCTTTAGTGGTCAAACACCACCAATAACAATGCAGCTATGTACTTCTTAGATGAGGACACTTATACATTTTTAAAAACCAAGTTTTGTTTTTAGCCGTCGTGTTCATTCTGGGAATTAGATACAGATGTTATCCTTAACCTTTAAGAATGTTAAATGTGCTGCCTTGTGATGCTTTTTATATAGTTTGTCACACTGGAAGTGCAGAAAACTGCTGTGATTTGCTGTAATTTATGCTGCCGCTTACAAAAAAAAAACCCTTCGGTTAAGAAACCCTTAGTAACAGCATGAGATTAGTAAATGATGAAAGAATCTTTTATCTTTGGGTAAATTATCCCTTTTAGAATGTGGTTGCACCTGGCACTGGGCTTTATTATTTGACTTTATCCAGCATATCCAGATTGTAATTTGTATGAGTTTTGTTTGGTTATTTAGGCTATTCATGAGGATGAAGATGAGAACATTGCAATGGGCTCCAGCATGGTGCAAAGCATTTTGGGAACCAAGCACCAACACTTGTATCCTAAAATCCTCCATTTGGTGATGGCAGATGGCGCTTACCAGGAAGGTAAAGTGTGTGTACACACACATTCTCACTCTCTGATCCATTCATGCACCATTTCATCTGATGTTTTTCATACAGTCGTACCAGTTCATTCAGTCAGATCTTTGCAGAAATCGAGCAATGTAACATGAATGGGTGTAAAAGAGTGCAGTGTGAATCAAGCACTTTAGAGAATGCCCTGAAAACACATTCTTAAAGAGACACATTCTTTTTTTATTTAGACATAGCCTGCCTCTGTGTGTGTGTGTGTGTGTGTGTGTGTGTATTTATGTATATGTGTGAGTGTGTAATTATGTACATATATTTTGTAAATATGTGTATGTGTAAATATATATGTAAAATTTATTGTTGTTAATAATAATGACTGTTTTTTATTAAAGGGGTCATCGGATGCCCATTTTCCACAAGTTGATATGATATTTTAGGGTCTTAATGAAAAGTCAATAACATACTTTGGCTAAAATTTCTCAATGGTAGTATAAAACAACACCCTTTTAACCTGTCAAAAACAGCTCCGTTTACAGCAACCCGTTTTGGTACATTTCCCTTTGAAGTCTTTACCTGAGAGACTGTAAACTTTAGCCGTATTCATCATGAAACTTGCTAACTAGCACATTATTAGGAAAGGCGATTTGCAAAATTAATTTAAAAACCTTATTCTGGAGGTGAAGCTGGATCATGAATGATTCGCACAAAGGTAGATGCATTTAGGTAGATCGGGGACGCATTCCCTTCAAAAACTAAAGTAATCCACTGTTTCTTCAGCGGCACAGATGTCGGGAGTAAATGACAACTGCTATGTTCATTATTACATCCAACAACAAAACACCTCAGTCTCTTAGGAGACATTCTTGTCTACCCCTGCTCTGGCACTGAAATGGCAGACTGATGACAGCTCACTCAGGGCGAGTCGAAGGTAAAACGCCAGTGTCAACTATCGTGGGAGGGGCCTTGGCCAGTGTGACATCACACTGGCAGGAATCTGAGAATGGCTTGATTTAGAAAGGGGTTTGGATTTATAGAGATTAAAAAAAAAAAAAAAAACTGGGGGGGTTTTTATCATAGGGTGGTTGTGTACACACACTGCCAAGACACATTTCAGTTCAAACATGTAAAAGTTAATTTTGCATCCAATGATCCCTTTAAATTATTACAACAAAATAATATTTTTATTACTAATAAAAACAATATAGTTATGTAAACACTAAATAATTATGTATTATTCTGTATAACGTATTCTTATTTAATTATCACTTTTATTATTAATAATAATAATAATAACAACAACACCATATACACATAATATGCCTACCTTCCCAAGCTATTTTTTCCTGTTTTTAGTCTCTAGCCTTACAAGCCAATAACAAAAATTTGCCAAAATTATTATAAAATGATTTGATTTTTATATTTTTTCCATACTATAAATGTATTTATATATAATTTTATTATTATTATTGTTTATAATAATAATAATAATAATAGTAATAGAAATACAATATAAAAACATGATACAACAATGTACTGTTCAGCTCATAAAGGGATAGTTCACCCAAAAATGAAAATTCTGTCATTAATTACTCAGGCCCTGTTTACACTAGTGTGTTTTCGTATTAAAACGCATAACTTTTGCTATGGTTATGCCTGTCGTTAACACTACTTCGGCGTTTTCGACCCTTAAAAACTTTAGAAAGCGCTGCAGACCCTGTTTTAGTTGGAAAACTCTAGGGTTGAGTTTGTGTAAACTGACCAAAACGGAGACTTTTGAAAATGATGGCGTGGCTGCCCACATTTGCTCTGCGTATCCTTGACGACCGTGTAAACAACATCATGCTCATTGTTGTACCATAGACATGTATGGCTGCGATCCACTCCACTTTTAGAGATGCATTCGCAAACTTCCCTAAGCACTTCCCCTCGGGGGAATCCCCACTGATTTTGAAGTGCGTTCCACTTCGTGAAGTGAACGAGGGAAGTTTATATGGACAGACCCTCGACCCCTCGATTTTGATCGAGGGAGCGAGTCTGCTTCATATGCACACTTCAGGCCACTCCACAGACCACAATGCAACATGATTATGACGTCATCACAGATCGCGTTCAATTTATCCCCACCCCAAACAACTCTATAATATATAAATTATTATTTTTTAAAATTTGTAACAGCCCAGGCATACCTATATACATATAGAATGCTGCACAAAACAAATTCGTAAGGGGAAAAATGTAAACAATAAACCAACTCTATAGCAGATTCTAAGTGATCAAGGGCTTGGGATGTTCCAGTTCAGCCCATTCCAAGGGTTCCGCCAGAAGTGGGCACTCATGCAACGTAATCAATGACGTACATCCGAGTGAATGAGATGGAGGGAAGTTTGCGAGTGAAGGGCATAAAAAACGGACTGGAACGCAGCCTATGGCGGTTTTATTGGGCGCACACACCTGGCCCGAGGTTAACTTCCGGTCTGTGTTTATTTATCGGTCTGGCTAGTGGAGCCAGCTACAAATGCAGTTAAAGTGATGAGTAATGAAGTTGGGCTCAGGTTGTTGTGCTGTGGGATGTGTTTCCCATACAGCGACCCGCCACAATATCAAAACTGACTGATTTTCCAAAAGGCTTTGTTGAATAAACATGAGCACGTACTGCACGTTTAAAAATCTAAATGAGGCGTGGGTGTTTTTATATCACTGTATTTCTGAAGGAAGACTGTCTTTAGAAAATTTTTGATGTCATTTTCATTTCATCTTGCATGTTATATGCCTCATAAAGCAGGGCTTGTGAGCTCAGTGCTGCTTTGTGTACAGCCGATACTGGGGACACCTCTGTTTCTCCCGCTCTGCTGGCAGAGAATGAGTTAGCTTTTTCAATAAGTACGTCTACATAGCAAACATATTTTGCTTGTTATCAAAAATAATCTACTCTAGAGGGACTTGGCTGTTGTTATTGATTCTATTTGGAAGTCTACCAGAAGTTAAGTTAGGGCCACAAAAGCATGCATGCGCAGTAACATTTGTTTATATTGTTGCCTTAAAACCTTCTATAGGTAGAATCCCATTCGACCACTCCAAGCACGTAGACGCGTCCGCTATCTAAAAAATAGGGCATCTGCCTATACATATCTATGGTTGTACCTGCATGAATGGTCATGTGACATGGCGATCGTTTCTGAAACGCAGTGAAAACGCCAGTGTAGACTTGGATTGATTTGTAGGACTTTGTAACCTTTGTTCATCTTCACAAATTAAGATATTTTTGATGAAATCCAAGAGCTTTCTGACCCTGCATAGACAGCAACAGAACAATGGACCTTAATGACAGAATTTTCATTTTTAGGTGAATTTTCCCTCAAATGTGTACAGTTCATTCACTAGTCCAAACAGAGTGAAATAGATTAGCTGTTCAAACAAGCAGTGCCTCCCCTTGTAGCAGATGTTTTCAGCACAAGACATGCTGCGTAAGTCTCTGAGCAATTCCAGGGCATTTGGGTCAGGTCACATAATTTGGGTTAAGTTGCATACATGTGTCTGCTTGTGTATGTAGCAGCCTCTGATTGATGTGAGGGTATTTCTGGCATTTACACTGTGTGTTCAAGGCTAACTCCTAATTATGGACTTTAATGTGACCTCTGACATCAGGAATATAGCCTGGAAGTTTTCTTAAGATCTCAGTCTCGTAAGTGAGTTAATTATTATTCTTTAACAGTTCCTCTGTTTCTTTCTCTTCTGCCCCACTCTCTCGCTCTCTCGCTCTCTCTCAGATAATGATGAATAGAAGTTATTCATCCATGCCGTTGGCAGCCTTGGTCAATCTGCTGGCAGGCTGAAGTGTTCCCATGATGCACTCTGACAGTCTGAGGAGGTGCATGTCGGGGAAGGGGGGTTTGAGAGAGAGGGGGTAAAAAGAGAAATGGTCCACTCAAGCATGGGCAGTTTAAAGTCCACGGTTGACTGTAGTTCTACTTCCATATCTCAAGTCACTTGAGCACTACTTTGTAAATTTTGTGCATATAAATGTGCTGTGTATAATAATATTTAACCAAAGCGTAGCCGAGTGTTAGCAGGCGAGAAGAAGTCTCCGACAGAGATGTACACGTGTGTACTCCTAGCTGATGACAGACTGTATGTGAAATGCTGCTCGTGCTGTATTCACAACAGCTGAAGCCATGGAAACTGCTTTTTAAGGCTCTAGACTGGCCAGGGAGGTCTAGTTTAGGGGTCAGAGGTCAATTATCTGCCCAATATCAGGTGCTCACGCACAACAGGCAGCGGGTTCTTCTAACCAGCTGTCTACCTCAGAAAACAGATTAGTCTAAATGTCTTGTCTAAAAAAACAGTCTTCTCAAATTTTCTGAACCTCTTTTTCTACTTTTTACACCTCGTTAACATAACATGCTCAAATTATTTAGCCTTAGCTTTCAAGATTTCTTACCGGTAAATCTTAAAGCATTATTTCAGGATTTGGCGAAACTGTTATTTAGGAAGTTACTATGCAGATGAAGTCCTTATCGGGGTTTTTAACGTGATAGTTCACCCAAAATTAATATTCTGTCATCATTTACTCCCCCTCATGTTTTTTTGTCCATCACATGGAATGAATGGGGGCCACAACAACATTGGACCCCATTGACTTTCATTGTGAAGAAAAAGTCATACAGGTTTGGAACTGCATGAGTGTGAGTAAATGATGATAGAATTTTCATTCTTGGTGAACAGTCACTATAAGAGCATTTATAAATGCTGTGCACATGCTTTATGCATGTTGTATGCAGCTGCACCTCCGGTGGGTTGTATTAAATGACCTCTGTGTTTTAGTTGCTGGCAAAATGTGGTACTTGAAAGTGTACAGAAAATTGTTAAATAATTTGCAAGCATTACGGTTTGTTTGCATGTCAGAATATGTATATCTTTGTACTGAGAAATAAATAAACGTAATTTTTTTCAAAGAATGTGCCTGTGTGTGGTTATTTGGCTATAAAACACTCCGCTTTAAATGTGAAGCAGCTGAGCTCAAATCAGTTGCCAATATCTATTTTCAGCTACCTAGATGGGGGGTATTTCTTCACCTATCTGAATCCTGACTGGTCTAGTGAGCTGTCAGTCAGCAACAACCTTGCAGCTGTCACAAGAATTGGCTGGAAGCATGTAGGGTTTTCCCCTTATCGCAGAACACCCGTGGATTCTCAGACAACCACAAACTATTGTGGGTGTGTGTGTGTAAGTTGTGTCTTTGCCAGATATCTTGAGTCACGTAGTTGCAAGCCTCTACAAATTCATTCATGTGTATTTCCACCAAGATAATTGAACATCCACAAAAGATTGTCACTGAATACAATACTCTGTTCAAATTGTTTACTCAGCAAGGACACTTTGAAATTGATCAAATATGACAGTAAAGACCTGTATAATGTCAAAAGATTTCGATTTCAATAAATGCTGTTCTTTTCAACTTTCTATTCATCAAAGAAACTTGATAACTTTGTATCACAGTTTCCACAAAAATATGAAGCAGCAAAACTATTTTCAACATTGATAATAAGAAATGTTTCTTGAGCGGCAAATCAGCATATTAGAATGATTTCTGAAGCATGTGACACTGAAGCCTAGAGTAGGCTACTGATGCTGAAAATTAAGCTTTGCCACCACAGGAATAAATTACATTTTAAAATATGTACAAATAGAAAACCTTATTTTAAATTGTAATAACATTTCGCAATTTCTCTTTGCACCTGAACAGCCTCATCAATCATGCTATTTAATTTCTCCCTTATTCAGCAAAAAAAACAGTTTGAAGTAGCAGTAAAAACACTTTGCCCTCAACTACCACCACTAGCCTTTTATTTCTCACTCTATTTTGTGCTTTGTTTGGCATAAATTCAGTTGTGTGTTGCATTATATCCATTGTCACAGTTAATTATGCCTGTTTGAGCTTCAGCTCTGTGCTATGCAAATACATCTACCTGATCCTGTGGGAGATTTAAATTACGCCATACAAAGAAGCACTGATGGATGAAAGAATATATTTTTATTCTCTTTATCATGGCAGCGTATTACTCTCATTTGAGTGCCTTTTAATTTCAAGCAAGATGTATATATTGTACCGCAATTTTAGAAACGCCAGAGCGTCGTTAATCATATCGGTACGGTTAATGCTTCTGAAATGCTTGCAATTAAAAAAAAGCCAATGTTATTAACTATTTATCATCTAAATGACTATTTACAGATATGAGGATACTCCTTTACCATTTCAAGAGAAACTTGGGCTCATGATATAAACATTTAATTGATTCATTGCATTGATATAATGTTCAATATTCATGGTCAGGAGTCATGGAGTTCGGGAGGATTCTTAATCACTGGGAATGTTTAATATGTTCATGACGGATGGGGTGAGGGCAGTAAGACAGCAGAATGGATTGAGCACGAAAAAGCTGTTATCCTCGTCTCACCCTCCGTTCCTCTAAAATCTTTTACCCATTTATCAAATCCCAAGGGTTGAGTTAATTGACTTCCTGGTTTTGGTTCCCAAAAGGCGATATGTGAGTCAATGAGGAAGATCTCCTATGTATATATGCAATACATACATATTCACGCTCTGTTTGCCATGCACACACATGAATGAATCGTTTTTGCCTCGTATTGGAGTAATTTCATGGATGGCTTTGTGCCTAATATGACAAGTGTTTTGCCTGAAGGTATAATTTTGCAGAGTTTTTCCCTTGATGGGAGTTGCAGATCTGGTTTATTTGTACAGTCTCTCTATGGGCTTCTTAAACTAGGTTAGATTGTGTTAAAACCCTCCCCCACCTGAAGGCAGATTAATACTGCTCTTTCATTAACCTCTGCACTATTAACCATCTCTGGTGTGGAAACAGACATTCAATATCCCGTTGAAGTCCTGCTGAGACAGGAGCGTGAGGTTATCAATGGTGCGGGCTGTAAAGCGTGTATTGATAGATGTATTGGAGTGGGTTAGAGAGGGAAAGAGAAAGCAGGATGTGTTGGATGATGAACTGTGGAGAACATTTGCTGCAAAGTGTGTTTATGTAAGGAAATTGGGGAGTGTTGTCACACATTTTGCTTCAAAGTCTAAAACTCAGTTTGTGCTGTGTCAACCCTTTATATAATGTTCCCATATTTCTCTCCAATAAATTAATTAAATCTACAATTTATCCCTAAATTGTGTACATTAATGTCAAGTACAAAGGGTGCTGTTGTTATAACCTACAACACACCACCAGGATAGGGAGTAACACTGATAGAGAACATGGACAATTTAAACAGGTTACGTTATGATGTAATCCCCTCAGAACCCGCAAAATCATTCATAATTTCATTGTCATTTTTTTAATTACAAAATTCTGTACTATTTTGTCTAAATTAATTAAAAATGAAAAAAAGTGTGGCACAAGTGAATTTAGGCATCACATTATTCTAAGTGTTTTCAATTTTTAAGTGAGTGTTAGATGATGATGATTAAATACATCTATAAACTATATAAATACATTACCATTCACTAGTTTGAAGTCAGTAAGTTTTTTTTTTTTTTTTTTTTTTAAGAAATTCATACTTTTATTCTGCAAGGATGCATTAAATTGATCGAAAGTGACAGTAAAGATATTTATAATGTTACAAAATATTTTTTTGTTTAAATGCTGTTCTTTTGAACACTGTATTCTGAGCTTTCTAAGAAACATATCATCATTTTCATAAAAATATTAAGCAATACACCAGTGATAAAAAATAAGAAATGTTTTTGAACAGCAAATCAGCATATTAGAATGATTTCTAAAGGCTCATGTGTCACTGAAGAAAAGAAATCAGCTTTGCCATCACAGGAATACATTATATTTTAAAATGTATATGCAAATAGAAAACAGTAATTCTATATTGTAATAGTATTTCACAATTTTAGTTTTTCCTATATTTGTTTGCAAATAAATGCAGCTTTGATGAGTATAAGAGACTTCCAAGAACATAAAAACCACCATCTCCAAACTTTTTAACCCTAGTGCAATATATAGTGTTGACCAATACTAATAAACTAATATTTCTTTAATATTGGTCAATAATATGGTTCTGATGTTTTCAGATTTCTCATTGATTATATTTTTAAATGATAAAACTATCTCATCGTCCTGATTAATTTTGAATTTGACATTGATCTTAGCACTGAACTGATGTGATTGAAAGGAGCCATCCTCCCCCATCAATGCTCCTCATAACTAAAACAGTGGGGTGGAAGAATTATCCCTTAATGTCAAATGCACAGCTAAACTCTGGACTGACCACAGGGCATTCAGTGACAGTGGCAATAATATCATGTCAAGTTGAAGATGGTTGACCAAGAACTTGGAGGTTATATAAAAGCTTTGTTACTTATTAATTGAGAGCAACACCTGTATGGCTACAAACAAGCCAAGAATCAGTGGTTGTACTGTGCCTAAAATGAAACCAGAGAATATCAGCCCTCACTCACACTAGCCTTCATTCTGTGTGCAACATTAGATCATGAGTTCACAGTTTTGAAGATTTAGATGGTCGTGGTAGATTGTCACGGCCTTGGAAAACAGATGCGTTCAAGCTGCAAAAGATCCCTGAGTCCATTATTCTGTCTGTCAGGTCTGGCTCTTATGTTTTGAGGAAAAAGCATTTGTCACGTCTCCTCTCTCTCTCTTTCTCCTATCTGTTTCTCTCGCTCAACCCCTCCATGCTTTTTTATTGCCCGTGACACAGCTGTCGCCTCAGACGTGGCAGAATCGTGTGTGCTTTAATGTGTGCGTGCAGACAAATTGCTGATCACAAACTCACTCAAGGGAAAAAATAAAAGCCAAAATAACATTCTAGCTCTGGCACTTGAGTATAATGTCATTATCTTCTCCTTTTGTATAAAGAATGATTGTGCATAAGGCTATGAAAGCATGCATAAATGCAGTATATATGTTGAAATGATGCATCAAGGACACTTTCAATCGATCAAAAGTGAAAGTAAAAGACACTCGTTACAAAAGATTAAATAAATACTATTCTTTTGAACTTTGTATTCATCTGAGCTTTTTAAGAATCCTGAAAAAATGTATCACAGTTTTCACAAACATATTAAGCAGCACAACACTGATAATACTAAGAATTTTTTTTTGTGTGTGTGTGCATCAAATCAGAATATTAGAATGATTTCTGAAGGATCGTGACATTGAAGACTGGAGTAGTGATACTGAAAATTCAGCTTTGCCATCACAGGAATAAAGTATATTTTACAAATGTATTAAAATAACAAATAAATTAGTTCTAAATTATAATAAAAATGGTAATATATTTTTAAAAAGATTATATTTTCTAATGCACAGCTGGCGCTTCAAATGTGGCAGAATTGTGTGCGCTTTAATGCGTGTGGCTGCAAATTGCTGATCACTTAAAGGAAAAAAATAAAAGCTAATATAACTTTTTCTGGCACTTTGAGTAGTATATTTTCTTCTTTAGCATGACGAACGAAGATGTATAAGTCTATGAAATCATGTATATGCTTGTAATTATTGTGAATCACCTGCACTGTTATTCCAAGCTCAGAACAATCCCACCTCAGACTGGGCCATGACTGAGTCAGTGATAAATCAAAGCAGGCCTTCCCTCCGGGGTTATCCAAGAAATTTGCACCAGGCTTTACAGCCTCTGCCCCTCCCTTCAGGGGGTGGGCTAAATGACCCCCGGCAACAGTGAAATATGACCGGAGGGCTGCTGCCAGCTCCGGTGGGATCGCTTCTGACATCCAAGAGCTGTGCCACCATAAATCTAACTTTATTATTCTCTCTCACTCTCTGTTCACAAAACAGTTCCTCTCCTACCTCTCTTTTCTTTCTGTTCCATAAATATTTGCCGTATTTATTTTCTCTTTCTGATTTATTGTCCTCATTAGCCAAGGCATGACAATACACACTGCACTCACATGCATATGCATTTAAATGAGCCCTTCATGAACTGTTTCAGCTCAATTACACACACTTGCTTACCAAATGTTGCCATTATCGTGGCACGATTTAGTTAAGAGTGCAAATTGCTCACAATGATGTGCTGTAATTTTTCCTGCAGCAGACAAAGGACGAGCCAAACACTATTAAAAGGCAATTTCAACATCAAATCTAGCATAGTGTAGCACATTCATCATCACACTTGCGTTTCTCTGCTGGCGCTATCGTTCTCTGTGGGATCTGTAAAATAAATGAGTCTATACATAAATTGTTAGCTTCCTGCACGTGTAGAAATATATGCGCTACTGTAAATAAACATCTGAAAAGGCACTCTTAAGCTTTTGAACAAGTATACAGGCTACATTTACTGCCTTTGACTTACTTTGTTTATGCCGTATGCAGTAAATTCTTGCAAGATATATGACTTCATCATGATAAGAGCCAGTGAGGTAGAAACATGATGATGTAATTCCTGTTGACTTCAGGGCTTGAGAACTTTGCCTTCAGGTGAAATGACTATAGGATGACTGCTGTCTTAAAGAGTTAACACCAGAGTTATTGTTAACTGAAACCATGAAAAAAAAACATTACTTGAAAATAAACATTAATCAAAATAAAATAAAATATTAAAAAAATTATATTTTTACTGATACTAATAAAATGACAAAAACAAAACAGAAAATGTAAAAATAAAATCAAATTCAAAATATAACAGTATCACAAAAATAAAAATTCCGCCATTTCATTCTAAACATTTCTTGAAATACAAAAGAAGATTTTTCGAATAATTTTTCAACAGTTTTTGTTCATTTAATGAAATTTCAAGTGGGTTTAACATGGGTTTGAAACAAGTTCAGAAATATTTAATACTTTTCCTTTAAGTTCCAGAGAAGTAACAGGTTTCATATAGGTCTGGAACAACATGAGGGTGACTAAATGATGCCAAAAATGTTCGTTTTTGGGTGAATTATCTCTTTAACACAGTAGTCACCTAATAAAAATGGTAATAAAAATCGAATAACAATCACCCTCACGTAAAGCTCTGCCAAACCATCATGAATCACTGAAATGTTCTTTAGATCCTTAAACCTTGCTAAGCAAATGCTTCTCTTTGTAGAATGAAACCCACTTCTGTGCAATGAAGCAGAGGGTTATTCAAAGAGTTTTTTAAAATGGAAAACATTTCCTGATTTATAAACCATGAGGTATTTGACTATAATCATGCAACAAGGATGCATTTGATCTGATTTGACCCACAATCCCAGGCTTGGAGGCTTGTGTCTGATGAACAAGAGGGGCTGTGTGAGAGTGACTTGTCATGTTAAAAGGTCTCATGCATGCTTTACTCACCGGTGATGTAACGGGTCGATCTTCCGACAACCTCACCTCCGTGTTAACCTTTGTGTGTGCCAGTGTGCATGTGGAAGGCAGAAAATTGACCTTTGAGCCACAAGCTGGAGGAGAGATGCAAAGCTTTGGTAAATAATACTGCCAAACCTAAAGGTTTCAAGGGGATGTGAGAGAACATTATGTGTTTGAGAGCAATATGAATATGAATATTGCCTACTATATTTTTACAAATATGTTAACCAGTATGCATCATGCAAGGTTAAATGTTTCAAAGAATAGTATGCTATATTGTTGTCGCATGATGTAAATATGTGCATGTTTACAAACCAAGTTATCATCTCTGAAATAATTTGTGTTTAATATTTCTTGCAGTTCTGGGAATGAAAAGTGAAGTTGAGCACTTGTTACTAAACATTTTGGCAGTAAGATACTCTGGGTGTCCTATGCACACAGATTATTAGCATACTATACACAACACGCATAGGCTACTATATACTGCAGAAATAGCAAGTGTAGTATAGAAGTGTGCTATTGAGAACATACTTGAGGTTTATGGTGAAATTGTATCTTTCTTACCATTTTGAAATTGTGTTTAATATTTCTTGCGGTTATGGACATGGAAGGTGAAATTGAGCTGGCTGAACTGTGGGATATAGTATTCCTTGCATTGTTCTCTGTTACTGCACATTTTGGCAATTAGATAAGAGCGTTCTATGCAGGCAAATAATTAGCATACTTTCACAATATGCATAGGCCTATACTGCAGAAATAGTAAGTATAGTATAAAGTGAGTTATGGAAAACATGGGCCTACTCGTTCATCTGGTGAAATGTTATCTTTCTTTTCATTTAAACCTGCTACTAGAGGAAATTTGTAAATCCTGTGATTTGTGACACTATATGACGCAGGCGGAGATTACAAACAAACTATTCGTCAATGAACGACGTTACCTACTACGTATAGACTAAATCAGCTTTAGAAATGCATTTTGCTTATTTGTGACGATCAAAACCGCAGCTTTTCAGTTGTTGTTTATCTAACATTTCGTAAGGAAGAAGCCTAAGCTCAAAACGGTTGATGCATTGCGTGAACTGTGGGATATAGTATTCCTTGCATTGTTCTCTGTTACTGCACATTTAGGCAATTAGATAAGAGCGTTCTATGCAGGCAAATAATTAGCATACTTTCACAATATGCATAGGCCTATACTGCAGAAATAGTAAGTATAGTATAAAGTGAGTTATGGAAAACATGGGCCTACTCGTTCATCTGGTGAAATGTTATCTTTCTTTTCATTTAAACCTGCTACTAGAGGAAATTTGTAAATCCTGTGATTTGTGACACTATATGACGCAGGCGGAGATTACAAACAAACTATTCGTCAATGAACGACGTTACCTACTACGTATAGGCTAAATTTCTAGCTTTAGAAATGCATTTTGCTTATTTGTGACGATCCAAACCGCAGCTTTTCAGTTGTTGTTTATCTAACATTTCGTAAGGAAGAAGCCTAAGCTCAAAACGGTTGATGCATTGCATTCTCGATTCCCAGCTGTGCGTTTTGAAAATCCTCCCTCCCGACTACACGTCCGCTGCAGTGTCCCACAGTATCCACGGGGCTCGCCATGGTTCTCGGACGCAGGAACTCGCTTCTCCTGTTTTTCTTCGCTTTCTTCTAAATGCAATCAACCTGAATCTCTCGGACTCGGATTTTTTTGCTGTTTCAACTTAACGACTCAAGAGCGACGACCTGTTCCTTGCTGAGATATACGGATCTGAATAGATAAACTTGTGTCCAACTGGGCGATCAAGATTTCAGGATCCCTTTTCCCAGAGCGAATTCCCTAGTTTGAGGAACTCGGGAAAGAAACTGTTCTGGAAGAAGAGGAGTGAGAAGGGGCCCTTATTTAAGGTAGCGTTTTTGTGCTCTCACAAATATCCCCGTAATAAGATATTAGATTAAATTTAAACATCGAATCAAAGTTTGTGAAGCGACATGGTTACTTACAACCAACGTGAGCACGAGTTACAGACAAACGTTTTGATAAAAGCGTCTGTCGTTCACTGTTTACTGTGACACTTTATTCGCTTTTTTAGTTTTCAAAACACGACTGGTAATGGGTTAGTTCGTTTCAGGAGTTATTTAAACAGACTCACGTACAGCAGTGTAAGGTCGATATATTTGTACCGCTACTCTGAAACAATGTGGCTAATGTTGGCTTTGTAGTTATTAAATACAAGGTTGTTGGTTGTATTCAGGACTTTTAACGACAGTGAGGGCGAGGTTGAGGGTTTGCATTAAAGGTAAAGCGATGGTTCAATCAAAACTGTACATTTTTCACCATTTACTCACCCTTGTGTTGTTATAAACCTCTATGACTTTCACAAATGGAGATGTTAGGGACTGACAGCCTCAGTCACCATTCACTATCATTGCATTTCCCCCCTTTACAATATAAGTGAATAGTGACTGAGGCTGTCAGTTTCCCTAATACCATTTTTTGTGTTATGGGGGAACATACCCTTTAATTGTGTTTATGTTAACTGCATTTCCTCGATTTATAACATTTGTAACGTTTCTGTACGCAACAATTCGGTTCAGATCAATGAGCTAGTTGCATAAAGATGTCTGATTTTGCAGTTAGTTTTGAATTATTCTCTATTCAGTGTTCTGCTTGCCTTTATATAGCCTCGTCTTTTGATTGAATCGGGATAGCCAGTAGAACAGTGGATGAGGATCGAGGAGGCCGCATATTTGCAGTTTATATACGAAGTCTCCTCTCGCAAACTGAGCAAACGTGACGGACGGTAAACTCTCTTTAGCTGTTTCAGAGTTATTCCTGTTGCCAAGTCCATTGGTGACTCTATTATATATGGCTGGGGCTAGAGAACAGGACCCAGATCCAGTGGTTTTCATACCGTTTAGTTCCATCTCGAACGTGCATTTGTCTGCAAAAGCGAACTGAATACCCTACTAAAATAATCAAGTTGTGTACTAAATGACCTACTGTATACTATCCACTATGTACTCTCCCATCTAGTCTATGCACTTTATAAGGTTATAAAACGTATGGTAAACTGCGACACTTTATGAAGTGTCCAACATTCCACACTTAATTTTTGGGTTAATTAAATGCATCACCCGGAAGTGCACATTTCTTCTCGAAATTTACCGTGTGAACACACTAACTTAGACGCACTATTATTACAAAATGGCAAAATATTGTATACTACGCGAATTGGAAAGCATCAAGCATACAGCGTGATCAGTGTTGTCTGATTCCTAATGAATGACTCTTATGAATCGGTTCTTTTTAGTGAATCAAAAACACACAACGAGGCAAGTAAGGTCCAATTTAATTTAGTGAGTCAAAAAATATTCTACGGTTACTGATTTAATCTCATTGTGTTTTGTGTATGTATGATAACATCTGGTTAAAAAATATATGAGTTTTGTACTAATCAGTGGTATTTTATATTAAAAAATAAATTAATACATTAATTACTATTATTAATATTTTGTTAACCCGTTTTTGTGCTATTTTTATTTAATACATAGCTATTGACAGTAGTAGTATTGCAAAAAGTAAATGCAATAAGAATTAAATTACTGTTTTTCAAATATTTCTCCCTCAAAAGTATTAAAAGAACCATTAAGGAACAGAATCATAGAATCATTCAATTCCTTATGATTCCCATCCCTAGTAATATGTTTGGAGGTTATTGTCTGCTCCAGTTCGTAGCGTTTTTGCTATTTGTGCCAAGTTTACTATGCATTTGAAAATTAATTTAGTTGTTTTTGAACATCCTGGATTTTAAGAGTCAGTTTTCTTGGGAACCTCTCCTTGGACAAACTCATTACATTGTGTGCTCATGTGCCTGCTATTAAAACCACCAAAAATGTCACATGTGTAATGCTCTATAAGACAGAAGTGTCATATGATCTCTTTTTCTTTGATTCTCTGCAGTGAATGCTAGAGACATTATCATGACTGCGGCATGGGAGTGACGTGACATCAGCATTGGACTTTCCCTCCAAACAACCTTATATCCGCACACCCACACCATGTGCTTCTCTCTTCGGAGAGGCAAAACTGACTGAATGAACGACTACGCTGAGAAAGATTGTGCGAGTGTGAAAATGGACGAGTCTGCGCTCCTGGACCTGTTGGAGTGTCCGGTGTGCTTGGAGCGACTGGATGCTACGGCAAAGGTGTTGCCGTGCCAGCACACATTTTGCCGGCGCTGCCTGCTTGGAATTGTGGGGTCGCGTGGAGAACTGCGCTGCCCGGAATGCCGCACGCTAGTGGAGAGTGGCGTGGATGAGTTGCCTAGCAACATCCTCCTGGTACGGCTACTGGACGGTATCAAGCAGAGGCCGAGGAGGACGGGAAGCATGCACAGCACGTGTATTAATGGATCTGCAGTGGCAGGGGTCCGAGCACAGATTGCTGGAGGAGGCCAGAGGGATCCAGGTCCCACGGGAGCCCAGTCTCAGAGGGTCCAGGCCAAGAGCACTCCAGTTAGGGTGAGTCCCATACATCAGACAGATATGGACAGAGACCATTAACATCTGTTTTTACATGCAGAAAAACTTAGTGATGGGTTTCTGTTAGCCTGATGGTTATATCGGTGGAGAACTTGTCTGGCCCTATCTTGTCTGGTCATCGTCAGGCCTTGGAGACTTGCTCCAAAGCCATGGCATGATATGAAAGGAAGAATAATTTCTGAATTAATTAGGTGTTTAGGGAATTTGAGATGTTTTTTCTCATTCACTGTGTCATCTGTATCATTATTTTGGTTAATGAACTCTTTATTTAGAGTTTGTTTAGAGTCTAATTCACATTCAGGAAAATGAATACAGGGAGGAACGTTTCTTGGAGTTAACAAAAAAACACTTTCTATGATGTTGGAACACATTTAATTTATATGTGCTTTAAAACTGCAATTTCAGTCAGATTAAAGTAATAATTAAAAAATGTTTTATGTGTCATGTAAACACTTTAGTCCAACTGGAGTTGTACCAGTCCGGTTTTTTTTTATATATCTGACTAACAGACATGGATGCTGCGATTGTTGGGTGACTTCGTCTAGCATGTATATGCATTTATTTGGACTACGAATGGTCTCACGTTTTGCTCATGCCACTGTAGCATAACTATGCAAAAAGCTGTAGCTTAATTTTAACTGCACATGTAAATATACTTAATGTGGAAGAAAAATGTTGTTTGCAGTTTGTAGCCTATATCTGCATGTTTGAGGGAAAAATATAATTGCATTTTTTGATTGAGATTGTGATTTAAAATTTGTTAAAAATAAAAAAATAATAACTATTATTGTTATTATTAATATTACTAAATAAAATATATATTTTTTACTTTATTACTGTTTATTATTTCACTGTAAAATAAAGGACTATTTAAAGAAAAAAATATTTTATTTTACAGTACAACTGTAAAATTACATTACTGTTATTAATGGCTATCTTGATTGTTTTCATTTTCAAAGCTATCAAGCTTTTATTTTGCCAAAAAACAGTCAGAGACTCTCGTTTTGGTATTTTTGGTGTTTATGTGGTTGATGTATGTTGCATTCCAAATGCATGTTAAAAGCGACACAAACTCGACGGGTCATGAGTCTAAGTAAACGCAGTGCTGCGCTTCACTCTGGAAAAACAGAGCGCATATAGTTATTTAATTAAATTACAAAATTTTGCATTAAGCCATATTGCAATTCCAGTTTATTTCGATTAATCGTAGCCCTAGCAGATGGTACTAGAGAGAATCTTGTTAGCTCAGGCCATTGTGCTTCTTCTAAAGCAACTCAAGAAGCTGAGGTAAGCCTCCTTCCCTGCTGAGAAAAAGCTGCATTAAAGGCACAATATGTAAGATTTTTTTATTAAAATATCCAAAAACCACTAGGACAGTGTTATATATTTTGCTGACTTGTGTACTTGCATTATCCCAAATGTTTTGAAGAATGTTTAAATCCAGAGAAATAAGCACTTTTTTAAACTAGTGACACGGACCGTGTCCATAGTGTCATTGTGTCGCCTGCCAATGACGTCATAACCCCTCGATTTCCGGTTTAGTTTTTTAGAAAATATGGAAATACCAAAGACACTTTAATATGTTGTGCATTTTAATAGACCGGTGACGACCGCACAGAGTAGCATTATAACAGAACTTTCAAATGTATCTAGTATGATAAAACAGTGCTGCTTTACCCCACATACGCACGACCGGAAGGAGCGGAAGCGGTCGACTGTGGCATATTAAAAGCTCCGCTGCTTTCGAGCCGTGTGTCGCGCTCGTTCAGTGGCCTCGTTTCGCTTCGACGGCTTTCAGCCTCACCCTGCTTCATACTATGACATTAATAAATCATTAGCTCATCCATGAACATGATTTCTACCCGAGTCCCGTCGGATTGCATCGGTTGTGGGGATGAAGACGACAACTCCCATGATTCCACTTTCAGTCACGGCGTCATCTAACTACGCCTTTGTCTATTTGTTTATTTTGAATACGTGCCCTCTAGCGGTGAAAATTACATATTGTACCTTTAACTGTTCCAGCACTTTTTTTGTTGTTTGGTGTGGTTGTGTATTTGGATGTCTTTATTTCTTTTTCTATGTGAGAGGGCAGAAAAAAGCAAAAACGTTGCAAGCGGACACCATTGTGTTTGTGACTGAGACTCTGATTGAGAGCTTTCAAACAAAGTGTCCCAGCGGATCGGGATAGTTGTCATAGCAGCAGTTTTGTGATTGTGTGTTTTGTTGTGTTCCACCTTTCAGTTCCAGCACTTTTTTTGTTGTTTGGTGTGGTTGTGTATTTGGATGTCTTTATTTCTTTTTCTATGTGAGAGGGCAGAAAAAAGCAAAAACGTTGCAAGCGGACACCATTGTGTTTGTGACTGTGACTCTGATTGAGAGCGCACACGATTCTGCCAGTATAACTTTCAAACAAAGTGTCCCAGCGGATCGGGATAGTTGTCATAGCAGCAGTTTTGTGATTGTGTGTTTTGTTGTGTTCCACCTTTCGGTTTTGCACGGTAACAAAACACAGGTGTCCCTACAATCAAGCCCTCTGTCATCTCTCCCACACAGACTTGTGGGACAGAAAGAGGCCTCCACCCAAAGCATGATGGGAGGCGACACTCTAAGTCAGACATCTCCGGTCTATAATCTTTTAATATCCTTCTTTTGTTGTTCATAAACATCAGTGCTGTGAAATGACACCTGGATTGGCCTAATAAGCTAGTCGTCTCTCTCCTATTCAACTAACATGAGTTTAAAAGATAATCTTTTTTACGCGTCTTCAAAAGAAGCTCGTTAGGGGGTTTTACCCTAAGATGACTAAGTTTGGCTGTTGTTTTCTTCTACAAAATCTATCGTAATGCTGTTTTTCATGTGAATTCTATTCATGATATATTTAAATAATACATAAAAATCAAAAGTGATAATAAATAAATTAGTTACAAAACATTTATATTTTAAATAAATTATTCTGAACTGTCTATTAATCAACGAATCCTATAAAAAGCGTCATAGTTTCCACTAAAATATTAAGCACAATTCAGCATTGATAAAAATAAAAAATGTTTCTCTAGCACCAAATAAGAATATAAAAAATAATTTCTGTTGCATCATATGACGACTGGAGTAATGAAGTTGCTGGAATAAATTACATTTTCAATTATATTACAATAGAAATGTTTTTTTATTGTAATACTATTTTTTTTTTTTATTCAGTTTTTACTGTATTTTTGATCAAATAAATACAGCCTTGGTGAGCATAAGAGACACATTTCGTAAACATTATAAAATCTTACCAACCCAAAACTTTTGAATGGTAGTGTACTGTATATGATCCATTTTACTGTTGCTGAAATGTAGCTTTAGGGATGGACAGATATTAAAATTCTGGCCAATACCTATAAACCAATAATTATTTTCATGTTTGTTGATCAAAATAAATGGCCACTATTAAAATTCTGTACTTTTTTTACATGTAAAAGGGGAGTAAAAAAACGAAAAACTTTAAATGGAAAATTTAAAAAAAAGTGTAAAAATAAATATTTTTATATGGTGTACATTTAGTTATTGGATGATAACATCACTGCTCATATTTCAGTCTGCTTTAAACTCTCTGGACCAGAATCAAAACCCACCATTTTTAAATTTGCCTTTGTGACTTAATCCTCTAAGTGATTACACTTGTTCTTCCTTTAGTTGGCATCACTACAATAACACCTCCCTATCCCAAAGTGCCCTTAGAGCAAGACTACATCTCTGAAAAAATCAAATCTGATGAACTCTCACCACACAGTCTTTTCTAATTAGCCTGTCAGTGTACATATCACGCTTTAAGGACACAGTCATTAGCATTAGGCTGTTTGCCAGAGCCGGCTGAATCCAGTAAAGTGAGGTAATATAAGGTTGATCAGCACGGTGAGCTCTAAAACTCTGCTATTCAAAAAAAGTCAACTCTCGCATGAGCAAACTTGGCAGTGATTGTTTATCTTCTCTCTCTTTGTGCCCGCTGTGTTTTCACACGCCAGCCTATTTAAGGTTGTATCTGAGGTGGTGTAAACAGCCTTGCTGCCGGTGGAAAGGGCTTTTTGCAGCGGTTGTAGCTTCAAACAGAGCCTGTGATATAGACGTGGTGTAAGGACCAGGAATGCATCTGAGACGTCATGATAACAGAGCGTTGTGTGAGTGGCAGGTCTGTTATTTAGGTCTTCAGAGGGGTTTTGTTAAGTCTGACACATGATCTGCTGTGCTTTGGAGACGCACAAAACACGCACTCACGCATGGAAGAAAACTAGTGCTAAGAAGAAGAATTCCTACCTAGTTCAGGGATACAGACATCCAGACCCCTGAGATCTGGGTTGTCAGATGTTGCATTTTGTAGCCATTTCAACATCTGCGTACTAGTGAGTACAGGAAGTACAGGTGCATCTCAATAAATTAGAATTGTTAAATTGGAAAAGTTCATTTATTTCAGTAATTCAACTCAAATTGTGAAACTCCGTGTGCATTGAATTTATTTAATACACGAGTTTCACAATTTGAGTTGAATTACTGAAATAAATGAACTTTTCCACGACATTCTAATTTATTGAGATGCACCTGTATATGGCAAAAGGAATCATATTTTACCTGAGATGTAAGTGTAAGTTTGCAGAGTTTACTGAATGTGTGTTGACCACTTGAGAACAAATAACTGTTATGTGCCTGTTGTTTTTATTGAATCAGACACGTACAGGGTGACAAATGTAGTTAAATTCACAAACAAATGACTTATATGACCCGTTTCTCTTTAGTGAATCAGAAATGTAAAGTGTGACAATAGAGTATAATTCTTGAATAAAAGAATTTGAGCCTGTTCTTTTTAGTGAATCAGAAATGTACAGAGCGACCAGTATACTCTGGTTCACAAACAAATGACTCTTACGATCCGGTTGTTTTTTAGTGAATCAGAAAGTGACCAGTTTAGTCTGGTTCACAAACAAATGACTCTTATGATC